GTGGGAAAGTTTGCTGCCGATTTTCCTCTAGCAAAAGCACTCCCGGGTCGAAGTCGGGATGCACCACGCACTGGCGACATTCTCACCTAGTAAAGAAATCGTACGCGTGCATATTCAACTCGAAGTAGACACGTCGCGCTTGACGTTTGCGCGAGCGATGTCTTCAGCCACAAGAAGGGAGCGACGGCTCGGCGACGTCTTCGTGCAAATCGGCTTGGTGGTCGGGCGTGTCGTACGGGATGAATACTAATTCTTTTGACCAGTCCCAAATTTCTCTTTTAAAGGCAGACAAAATTCGCCGGTACCGCGAACGACAGTTCTGAAATAGAGGTCCCACGCCCGTCGTCCGCTGCCATCGCCGTCCCTACGAGTCCCACGATACGCGAAACGACGCACGCACAGAATGCTTCCGGTTGTCTGTGGAACTTTTTTTTCAATCAACGTATTTGCAGCTTTTTAGAAGCCACAAAAAATGGGTTTCATATTTTTTTCTATTTTTAATATCGAGTGTGTGCTTTCAGTGACCCACGACTTTGATTAAATTTGGTGGTCGCATCGATACCTTAGAAAACGGCCCGTGACCGCGAGAAAGAGAGTGAGCGAGACTCGAACCGGCCAGTTCTTGATCGGCGGTTTTCGGGCGGAAAGAAACCGAATTTCGAGCCGCAAATTCTGTTCTGGGTAGTTGAGCTCTCATATGTCACGTACAACTAAAAACCTCGGCGAGCATAAATACCCTGTCAGTGTCCCTTTAAGGCCACGGAGAACGTTATCTATCATGCGCTCAAATGTTGCCGGCGCATTGCAAAGGCCAAAAGGCATCACGTTGGATTCAAAAAGACCGTCAGTTGTAATGAAAACTGGTTTTAGAGCGCAGCTCTTAGGGGCCCGTTTCCAGCCTGAGCGGCGTCGGCGTCGCCGTCGGCGTAACCGCGTTCCTCCCTCTCCTCCTTCTCCCGTCCTCCAACTCCCCCTCCTCCTCCTCCTCCCCTCATTGTGTAGTATGGTCCGGGCGGGTGACGTGACCTCGGGGGGAGGGGGTCACATGACCCGTTTCCAGCCTGTGCGGCGTCGGCGTTGGCGTCGGCGTCGGCGTCGCCCCTCCCCCTCCTCCCCCTCCGCTCCTCCTCCTCCCCCCTCCTCCCCCGCCAAGGTCACGTGACCCCGGGGGGTGACTCCCCTCCCCCCGCCGGTCACGTGACGGCCCGCCCAAGGTCATGTGATCCCGTCCCCTCGAGGTCACGTGACCCTTGGACCTCTGCCCTCCTCCTCCTCCCCCTCCTCCTCCTCCCCTCATTGTCTAGTATGGTCCGGGGGGGTCACGTGACCTCGGGGGAGGGGTAAAGGAGAGGGAGGGGGAGCAGGAGGGGAGGAGGACTAGCAGGCATGATCACGAGGGAGGAGGAGGAATATACCCTCCACACCTCCTCCTCAAGAGCTGCGCTCCAATTCGGCGTTACAGGAAGTTGTAAACGGCTTTCACTTTTTTCTTTGTCTTCTTCCTTCATTGGTATTTGCCAGTAGCCGGTCTTTAAATCCAGGGATGAAAAATATTCGGCTCCTTGTAGGGTGTCCAATGTGTCATCAATCCGTGGTAAAGGGTATACGTCCCTGCGAGTGACCTTATTGAGTCTACGGTAATCAACGCAGAAACGCATGCTGCCGTCCTTCTTGTTTACAATGACAACTGGTGAAAGCCAGGGGCTCGAGGATTGACGGATGATCCCATTACGCAGCATTTTTGACACCTCTTGGTCAATAACACGGCGTTCTGAAGGAGACGCGCGATATGGGCGTTGGTGAACTATTTCTCCAGGAGGCGTATTGATCGTATGTGCTACCGAGTTTGTTGTGCTTGTGAAGGACGTGTAAACGTCAAAGCATGATTGGAAACGAGTTAATAAATTATTTAATTGCTTTTTATGAACCTCTCCCAGGTCAGAGTCAATGTCATTCGAAATTATTTGGTTGGATATAACCGGCAACGTTGTAGGTTCAAAATGATGTGTTGATTCGAGCGAAGCAAGTTCCAAAGAATTATGTGGTTCGATACTCGCGACGACTGTGTCCTTTACGAAAAGAAGTGGCTGGTGTGTAACGTTACATACAGGGAGTACTGTTTTTCGGTCGGTAAGTTTAGATAGGGCATAGGGTACGTTGAACCCGTGCGATAGCAAGACGGTAGACAGAGGAGTTACTAGAAAAGTCCCCGAAAGGCTTGGTTCGCTCGAAAAATTGATCAGGAAAGATGCTAGCGGGGGAATGACAGTATCCTCACAGGCCCGTAATTTGGTTTCAACAATTATGGAATCAGACTCGCGGTTATTTGATTCCCCCTTTGCAATTTATGACAGCTTCAGCAGATTGAAGAAAATCCCAGCCTAGAATCAGGTCATGCGTGCAAGACGACAAAACCATGAACTGAATGGTGTGGCACGTACCTTGTATGAAAACGCGAGCCGTGGACTGAGTGGTGGGATGAATGATGTCTGTGGACGCCGCCCGTAATGAACAACCATGTAGGGGTGTTCTAACTTTGTGAAGACATAAGGAAATGTCCTCTCTTATCATGGAAGTAGCCGCCCCTGTGTCAACTAAGGCGTTCAGGAGTAAGCCGTCGATATGTACCTCGATGAGATTGGATGGGTCAGAGGGAGGATGATGAAGAATCTCCCGTGACGCAGTTGCTTCTCCAACAACTGCGGAACCTAGTTTCCCGTATTGGGCCGCGCGTCTCTCCTCGAGATCATGGGTGAGAAAGAGCGAGGATAGGGAGATGGGGAGCGGCGCCGTGGAGCTTCCGGACGACGTGCTGGATAGGGATCCGGGGGTGGAGACTGATCCCGCGGCTGGTTCCAATACCCTCTGTTGTTTCGCTCTCGACTATAGTAGTCGCGGGTTTCGTAGTCCTGTTGTCTTCTTCGGCAAACTCGTGCCACGTGGCCGGTAATCCCACAATGATGGCAGATTGGGCGCGGCCGACATCCCCAGGATACGTAGTTGGGATAAGTGGGGCGGCTCAGAGCCGTATATACTGAGAGAGTTTGGCCATCTTAAGGAGATTTTGACTGCCTGGCAACCATAGCAGCGTAGTCCGACAACCGGGGGATGACTACTTCCGTCCGCCATTTTGGGGCTCTGACTCATAGGAACTCTATGCGATTTCTCAGGAATAAAGAAGACAAAGAAGTAACGCCATTTTGTGTTATCGCGAAATCCGCTGGTTCTAGCGGGCAACAAGCTCCGGCCATTGGCCAAACTCTCTCAGTATAAACGGCTCTGGGGCGGCTGCTCCAAGGGAGTAAATGACCCCTGTTAAAAGCAGGCAAGATAGAAGCCAGAGCAGGAAGGTCCGGAATCAGTTGGCGAACTCCCGAACGAGGAGTTTCATCAGAAGTTCGAAGTCCATCGGTGACTTTAGGGGAAGTCTCTCTTGGTGTGACGACAGAAGCAATCTCCTGTTGGATAATGCGGCGCAAGCCGCTGTCGTCACTCTCAATCGTCTGGTGGCTTGCAGCAGGTCGGAGAAAATGTGAAAGTTCATCTCGTACAATTTTCTGTATCATTTACTTCAGGGTATCGGTCGATAAAGAAGGCATGGTAATTGATGAGCCGTCATGCAGTGCTCGAACCTGAAGACGGGAGTTGCGGGCCTCATCCAGCCTTTGGCGATGCGTGGTGATGTCCTTAACAATCGTGGGATTTTGCACAAGAAGGACGTTAAATGCCTCTTCAGAGATCCCTTTCATCACATGGCGGACTCGGTCGGCCTCCGACATGTCCTTGTCGAAACGGCGGCAAAGTGCGAGGACATCCTCGATGTAGGAAGTATACGTCTCACCAGAAGATTGAATTCGTGCTGCCAACTTTCGTTCAGCTACAGCTTTACGATTGGCGGGTTCGCCGAAGATTTCGGCTAGCTGGGTTTTGAATAGCAGCCACGTCACGATTTCATTTTCATGGTTGGTGAACCAGATATTGGCCACATCGGAGAGATAAAATATAGCATTCCGCAGTTTCGCCTGGTCGTCCCACTTGTTATAAAGACTCACTCGCGCGTAGACGTCCAGCCAGTCCTCCACGTCGTCCTCTCGGAGTCCGGCAAAGGTCTTGGAATGTCGGAGTTGTCTGGGGGCAGGGCTGACGGCAACTGCAGAGGCACCGGAGGAGGATTGGCCACTGCTGGTCATTGTCACTATTCGCTTTCTGGGACGAAGCTCCAGAGTGGTGAAACGTCGCTACTGGGATCGTGACCCCGCACCTCCACCAATAATGTCAGGAAGACAGAAGCTCAACGACCGCTTTCAGTGATGATTATATTCGAACTGGCCCGCGGTTGCGAGCTATCGGTGATGACGATGATGGGGGAGATATGACGATGTTCGAAGACAACGATGAGGGTCTTCATCACAATATATATATATATATATTTTTTTTTTCGAGTGCGCGTATAAACAAAAAAGGGCCTCCATCGCCACTATTGCACTACCACAAGTTTTGCCTCGAGCAACGTAACTTGTAATAGAAGCCCGTCCTTGAGGCTCACACGTCCGGTGCAAAAAGCGTAATGTGCTGACTTGGGCAACCTTGCCAACACGTGCCGAAAAGAAACCATCAGAGAGCCGAGAATTCGAAGAAGGAGCAAGTCCAAAGATAGGAGAGCGTCTTGGAATTTAATGCGGACGCCCCACTGGGCAGATTGCTTGCAAGTGCGCATGCATTTCCTTGTGGCAAAGCGAGAGGGAATGCCGGCGCATACACTTGCAGACGATGAACGGTTTCGTTACCTCCTAGCAGTTTGTATTGCAAATGCGGCACATAAATCGCGTGACCAACCCCCGATCGAGCGAGTGAAAACCCTCTAAAATCTAGGGACACCGTAGACACCATAACACGTCGCACTTCCTCCTAGCGCGTCCCGCCGCAGGTGATATAAAGAGCTGGTGTCCGCTGGCTCGCAAAGACAAAGCGATTGGGACTGCCTTTCACAAGGGACCGCCATGAAAACCTACGTGCTACAAGCCCTTCTTCTCACGCTCGCTGTCGTGGTTGTCCGTGCAGCCAACACAGGTGTGTTCCATATGTCCATTGAACAAACATAATTGCATATAGACTCTTAGAAATTCCCCTTCGTCCACTTTTCCTCAGTTCACTTCGAGAGTCGATGATTCCGACTGAGAGTCACAGAGGAGGCTCGGCGAGCGTCAAACAACAATAGCATGTTGATACCGAAGACTAACACTTATGATGTGATATGGAGCGTTAAAGTAAGCGCCTGAAACGTAAGGTTCCAAGTGACATATCTCAACTTTTATCCTTCATGTGTGAATATATATTTTTGTGTATTGTTATACGCCGTGATTTCTGTGTAAATTGCAGTCATTGGCTCGTCTGATGATCTGAGAGAAAGTTGACGCACGAGCGAGTTTAAGGGTATATTAGTGTTTCTGTCCGCAAGCAACAATTGACGTAGTGATTTCTCATAAATGGTGCCTAGAATCGCTTGTTTTTGTTGGTAATCCTAACTGATATTGCACTGCCTTAGATAAAAAAACAACATAAACAGTTATTTTATAGTGGTATATTGCTTTATCGCAAAAAAGTGAAATAGACGATGCGTCTTTTTATTGTTGTTCTGCTACAGCGATACATATGTTTTAGGAAAGTGGAAACAGCGCGCAAAAAGACGAAGACAACGAGAGAAGAGCACAGGACAAGCGCTGGTCCTGTGCTCTTCTCTCGTTGTCTTCGTCCTTTTGCGCGCTGTTTTTATTTTCCTAAGTCATGAACCAACTCGCTTGCATCGCCCCCTTGATGCATATGTGCCTGTTCATCTTTCCCAACTTAACTATAAAAGGCGCTGACGGTTTCCGTGGAACTCGTTAAAAAACGACCACTGTTGATTAACTTCTCTGTCATTTGAATTTGAAGAATTGCATAATAGTTTTTGTACGCGACAATTCAGTTTCGACACGATTTGAATGTCAGCATTGTGATTAGCAGAAGCCAAAAACAATGAGCGAAAACCAACAAGCATGACTGTTTTTTTGGTGTTACTGACCAGAAAACAGTGACTTTTTTTCACCCGTACAGGTCCATGTCTTTTAAATAAAATTCAACCTTTAAGTGTGAACTGAAAATTCCTGACTAAAATCCTGAGACTGGGCAGAGACGAAAACACAAATCGTGTTTTCGGGAAAAAGTACAAATCCCGTGGGGCCGAATATTGAAAATTTGAAGCCTAACTGAGTGAAGCAGTCAGATAAATCGCCTCAAGTATTCTATAGAAACTGAAATTTGCTTCTTTGTTTTCTAAATGAAACGATCACGGGAAAATGATTACTTCAATATTATGTTAAACGCATAGCTTCAATGCAGTATCAGAAATTAGCATTTCAAGGTATGTAACCATTTGACGCCTCGACCTAATCCAAGGCTGATACACGAAACAGGAATAACATTATGAATGACGGCGATTACAGCATGTGCCGAGAACAAGAAATACGAAATGAGTTTGGTGTAGCACGCTCTTTCCTTTAGTTTTTAGTGCGTTTTGTCACTCATGGCAGGGTGGACAGTTGAAGGTTAGCAAGTTATGCAATCATGTTTTATATTTAGTCTTATGCTTCTTTAAGATAGGAGAACACATGTGACAAGCCCCTTCAGTATTGCAAAACTTCCTGTCACGAAGGTTTTAGGGCAAGCTATGCTCATTTGATCAAAGATGCGATTCGTAAAAATATCAATAAGTACGACCACAAAATGTGTGTCTAAGATAAACACAAGATTCTGAAAACCCCCACATTCCAATCAAAAGAGAAATCAATGCTCTCAAGCAGTGAATTTGCATCTCTACTGCATTTAATTCCCACATACCATATTTTATTTTTATGATATTGACAAACTTCTTGTTTAAACGAGAATTTTCAAAAAACCCTAAAAATTGGGTGGTTAACACTTAAAAAAAATCTTTCCGGGTAGAAACTGCTTTCTACGGTGCACGTCTTGGATAAAAAAAGTGAAAGCCGTTTACAACTCCCTGTAACACCGAATTAGAGCGCAGCTCTTGAGGAGGAGGGAAGGGTACTGGGGGGGGGGGGGTCACGTGACCTTGGGGGTCACGTGACGATGCCGATGATGTCATCAGTGACGATGACGATGCGGACTCCGATGACGTCATCTGTGATGATGACGATGACGATGCGGATGCCCCCCCCCGAAGTCACGTGACACCCCCAGGTCACGTGACCACCCCAGGGTCACGTGACCCCCGCCGAGGTCACGTGACCTCCCCGATGACGTCATCGTCACTGATGACGTCACCGGCATCCGCATCGTCATCGTCATCATCACTGATGACGTCCTCAGTGACGTCACTGATGGCCTCACCGGCATCCGCATCGTCATCGTCATCATCACTGATGACGTCACGGATGACGTCATCAGTGATGATGACGATGACGATGCGGATGCCGGTGACGTCATTAGTGGCGATGACGTCATCGGGGAGGTCACGTGACCTCGGCGGGGGTCACGTGACCCTGGGGGTGGTCACGTGACCTGGGGGTGTCACGTGACTTCGAGGGGGGTCACGTGACTTTGGGTGTCACGTGACCCTGGGGGAGGGGTCACGTGACCTCTGGGGGTGACGTTACGTTGGGGTGACCTTGGGGGTCACGTGACCTTGGGATGACCTTGGGGGCCACGTGACCTTGGGATGACCTTGGTTACGCCGACGGCGACGCCGACGCCGCTCAAGCCGGGAACGGGCCCCTAAGAGCTGCGCTCTAAAAAACAAAAAACTTATTAAATAATATTCTGATTATCTAGAACTTAATGATAAGTTCTTTTTTATGTACAAAGATAAACATTTGGTCCCAATTAAAAACATGGTGAGCATCACTGAAATTCCATTAATAAGCTTACTGAGAAAGATAGATAAGGCAGGTGCAGCATTTTATGGCGTTCCGAAAAAATGCTCATGTTTGACTTTCGGTTTCCCATCGGTGGACCAGCATGCCTTGCCCCCCCCCCCCCCCCCCCCCTGGTGATTGAGAAGAAAAACGAACGTGCGCACTATTAAATGTCTTTGATCGCTTTTAGCGCAGTACAATGTGCTATACCTGCCTCATTACATGCTTCCAAGTTAGTTGCATTAGTGGTTTTCTCTAATATTTATTGAAGTTGGGCTCGTTGGTGCATGTTCCGGGAAAAATGTTTAAAAAAATTGCGCATTCAAAGCTGGACAGATCTTCACTCAGCCACTCGAAAAAAAAAGAAGTGTTACAGAATATTTAATTAATTTAGAAATTATAGAAACAAAACATCAACATCCACGCATACCTTCTGATACTACGAATGAATTCAAACTCTTCATTATACATCGTAATTGACTCTGCACTAATGCAAACATTAGGGCTGAGTAGACCGCGAAGGGTTAGTTCCCTGAATTATATAATTTGTTAAATGTTGTGTAACACTGGATTTTTATCTTTTCGAATGGCTGATTAAAGACGTTTGCGCCTGAGAATCGGTATTTCTCTTTCTTAATCCCCACCTCATGGCTTTATATATTGAAGAAGATGAGAAAGAAAACTCAGCCATGCGTAAGTCTTGTGTTCTTTGTCTCCTTCTATTTGGGCTTGTGTAAACTTTCAAAAAGTTACTTAATAAACGCTAGTTAATTATGTAGCCAGTTATTCATCTTTTGCGATTCATCATGTTCGTCGTGGCCAGCTTTTTGTTCCAGAAAGAGTTTCTTTTTTCTTTTTTTGTGACGTCAGCCACGCTTTCTTTTGCGATTTTTGAATTTTTTCGCTGAATCGACAAGTATGAATGCTCGAGGCCCGAACGATTAGTCTCCCCAGGCTTGACCCATTCGCAGTCATCTACGGAAGGAAGCGAGTAGATAAAAAAAAATTGAAGATATGTGATTTCAATGTAAGCTGTTACTTTGACGCAATGATGATACGCCTAAGAAAGTCACGGTCACAGAAAAAAAAGAAAAAAAGTAAACGCACGGTATATTTTAGAGAATAGAGAGAGCGAGCTGTGAAACATCTAGGAGCTAACAAAGTTTAAAGTGATGTCTGTGTCGACCACGCGAGGCCTCAAACTATTTCTCTTCCCGCAGGAATCGAGTGGCCGCCAAAGCCACAGAAGTGCGCCGAAGGCGAAACCTGGAAGGAATGCGTCGGAAGTTCATGCGCTGAACTCACCTGCAAACACCCCGAGCCTTCCCGCGGATGCACCGAAGACTGCGGATACGGATGTTACTGCGCTCCGGATTTCTTCAGGAACGCCAATAAAAAATGTGTCAAGAAGGACAAGTGCCCCTGAAAACTGTCACCAACCTCATTATTACGCGAAAAATATATTGTGATTAAACACAGCATATCCAGTATTACCATTATAAACTAAGACAAAGCAGACAGATGGGTACTTTTTTTTAGTAGCCTTTGTTGCATTTTTTTCAATCAGTCAGCTGCTTCATTCATTTTTGAAGTTTGTTAAAAACGTTGCAAAACACATCTGCATACACAGCTTATTTGGCGCAGGCTTGAGGCAATTCCATCAAAAGTAGGATTATGAATGCGGTGTGTTGCCTTGCACCTTGCACTCATGCTAGTGCCGTGCATATATTGGTAAAGATTATAATTTTTATATAAATAGACAGCTCAATAAAAAATATCATCTGCTCTTCTATATTGTTCAAAGTTGCATTTATACCAGAGTTGAACCCGGATACTCCGCTCAGTGAAACCGTAATAACAAGTACTAATGTTTTTGTCTGAAGTAATAAACGTTTCTTGCATAGTATTTATTGCTCCCATTGGCGTGTACCCTCGCTTCAACAAATCTGAAGGCAGCAGTAACCGAATAAGGGATTACCCTTGATGTGTACCGGCTCATTGCGCTTTCAGATTGACACTGTACACTTCTTTAAGTTATTAAGAATTACCAGCCGTGTTTTCGGAAACTTAATTATTATAAAGTACACTTGGCTTCCAGTGATACCCATAAAAATGATTAATCATAATTCAATACAGTGTTTTTATCCCCGCAAATGGACACCATCATTGCCACTGATGGCCACTGCAAGGTCATCGCTTCTCAATGTTTTTTACACTATTTAATTTTGTGAATATAAATTATATCATAGTTTAACTTACACACAAACGTAATATTACCTCTTGTCGGAATATGAATATAAACGCATTAACGGACATATAGGAACGAGAAAACGCGACTTTCAAAAGGGGAGCGACGCGTTACGAAGAAGTGGACAAACAAATGCAGGCCTACAGTAGGGGCTACATGCTCATGAACACCGCAAAACTTCGCTTGCGATTGCGCAGTTGTGACTTTGAACGCCACAGCTTCCACTAAGTGTTATTGTCCCAACAGCAACGTCGCAACGGCGAAATAGCAAATAAAGTCCCATCACGGGAATGGGGCTTAAATCTACTCCAACAGAACCTTAGCAAATTCTACCGAAGGCATATCGGGTGTCACCCGACTTAGGTCATACTTTTCCAACAAAAATGCAAAAAAAAAAACAAAAAAAAACGCGCCTTTGAGAGTAAATATTAGTGCTTTGTTCTTCACTACAGAAAAACCTATGTACCGAAGTACAGATTTCTATTTTTCAAAAAATATCTATATGTTAGCGGCGACTCGCGCGCAGGTCAGCCAAGTTTCCCGAAGTTGTGCGGAGGCATGAGTGAGAATAAGCTCGTGAGCGCAAAGCATGCTCGTGTGCGAGGGTTGTCTGCCTGCGCTTCTGCTGACTGCGTACACCTCCTGCACCTTATCTCTCGGAAGAGCTATCGGTCGAATGGGCTGTGTAGTGTCAATTCAGTTTATTTTAATTCAATTCAATTTCAATTCACTTTATTTTAGTTCCCGAATAAATAATGAGGCAAGAGGATTGAATACAAACCTGCTGCAGTGCAGCTTGACTAAGATACTGTCCCTTATATCCGGCTATCGGATCAATAAGGTAATGGAATGTGTGTGACTCAACACGCTCATTTTCGTGTAAAGTGTGCGACTTAACATGCACATCTAGCTGTTGCTCTGTGGCTCAACCGTCGAAGGATGTAAGCGACGTACGATAAACTTTTTGTCATTTTATTACGCTTGTCGAAAAATGAAAGACGTTTACAAATCTCTGTAATTCGAAATTAGAGCGCCGCGGTAGAGGTATTTTGATATTGCAAATATAACAGGGCTTAACAATTTGAGAAATATATTTATGTATGTAGAAATAGAGATCACTCTCCTTACATAGTGATTCTGCCCCCTCGTCCTCTTCCGTGCCCTCTTCTTCATTCGTACCCTCCTCCTCCTGATCCTCCCCTCTTCCCTCTCCATGCCTTCCCCTCCTCCTTTTACGTACCCTCCAATCCTCCACCGTACCCTTTCCTCTTCCTCTGTACACTTCCCCCATCCTCATACGTTGAAAAAATGTTACTGTCTAACAGAGCTCTACCACAGACAGCTTGTGCTTGTGGTAGAACTTCTGGTAGTACAAGAAGGTCATTAAATTCGAATATACTAATTCACGTGAATACATTATATTCTATTATATTCTATAAGTATTATTCTATTCTATACTGTTTGATTGGTTTCGGTGTATACCCGATATTCCGCGTTAAATTCAGCAGCAGTTTGAAGAATATTCGCCCCTGTTGATTCGTGAACTCTAACAAGCGTGTGCTGATACAAAAAACGACCCGCGTTACAATTCGACGCGACCTATTCAGCGTGAGTGCCATACCTCTGTCTAGTATTCTGGGAGAATGACGTACGTTTTCAAATTGATCAAGGCTGATCACGCAATACTTGTGAAACTGACGTTTCATTCATGTAATTACTTATTGTGGGATATTACTGCTGTTCTAAAATAACGAAGGACGAAAATGATATAGTTTAGTCATTAGTAAACAGATTAAAAAAAATGTATGATGACTTTAACCAAAAAACTGTGGCAATATTGGATTGAATTCATTGTGGTAAACGTAAACTGATAAAAGTAAAGCTTATTTCGGGTTAAATTCAATATGGCAAACTTGAACCAAGAATCCAGCGCATTTACTGTATTTTCGGAAAACAAAGGTTTTAATTAGTTTTATCTAGAATTCCAACCTGTTTGACACTTTTCACTATATTTCTTACCTTTTTAGTTCTCGCGTATTTGTGCGCGAAATTAGAACGTGGCATGGGACATGTTATGGACTAACATTGCGTGCAAAGATGCAAGAGCCCTTTAAAATGCGCCGTGACCATGTAACGGACTATACTCTTTTTCACCTCAATTTCTGCACCGGAGGCTCCACCTCTACAGCCCGCGCATTGGCCAGTCACCGTCGCACCACCACAAAGCGTTCCTCCGCCATTTTTGAAACAAATATAAACAAAAAATGTCTACAAAGAAAAAGTTCTCTACGAGCATCGTAATCGTGATAATCTGGTCATCTTAAATAGGGTTTATAATGTAGCACGTTTTGAGCTATAATTTCTCATATGCCCAAATTTATTGGTGTGATTGCTTTTAAAATACGGATCGCAGGCAGTCGCTGCGGAGGTGGCGGAGGCCGCAGTGACTGCGTTCGTTTGTTCACGGAAGAGCGAGTCGTTCACAAACGGAATTGCTTTGTTAATAAATGCAGCACTCCCGACTTGTCTAACATCTTTTCTCAAACAAAACAATTGTACCGTCAAAGTGTCGACTTAAACGACGCAAGACTTAAACGGCTCAAGACTATTTCTCTACTTCGTTTGCACCACGTCATAGGAGTGTTGAATTTACGAACGCGTGCGGTTAACTTGGTGACGTCATGTTGTTGTTCGTATTCGGGGAATCGAATGCTCGCCGTGCTCGACTCGATTGCGTTCTTCTGCATGTTCGGTTTTCTTTTACCACTTTATCGTCCTGTTTTATTATTCTGTGGAGATGCAGGCCTGTGCAGTTCTAAATCGATAGCTCAGCTCCGCGCTTCCGCGAGCGACCGCTCCGAATACGGACGCCACAAACCTGCTTGCAACCGACTGGCTGAATCTACTGCCAACATGCACTCTGACTCCTCCCAGCGGGAGTGCCGGGTGAGGACACCCGGCACTCTGGTTCAGTTCAAAGAGCGTTTATTGATGCCATTAGGCAGGAAAAGGGGTGTAAGAATGCATAGGTGGCTAATAGTCGAGGCCTGGATGCGGCATACTATTTGAAACATGTACACTAAATAATCGATTCCAGCTTCGCCTCGTGGAGGAATTCCAGGAGATTTCGCAGGATCTTTCGTTGTTGGTTCTCGTTTCCAGGGGGATGAGTCCAGCCTTCCAGAGTGGCGATGTTCTGAGGTCGCAATTTTGCCCTTTCTGCGTGATACTTGGGGCACACCCACACTTAGTGGTATGCGTCCGCCCTAGCGTTCATGTCGCACTGGGAACAAAGGCCAGGCCTTTTGAGTTTGTTCCACGATGCGAGCCTCGCGGGTGATAGTGTTGCTTCTGTGCGGACTCGAGTGAGCAGAACTTGCCGTCGTCGTCCCAATCCCCGTGAAGGGAGCAGGGGATGTGCCGGCTCGGGTAGGAGCTCTTCAAGTTTCGCCTGGTATTCATTTTTTATTCCGGCCTTTTCTTCGGCGGGGTCATATTTTTGTAATTGCCAATCGACGATGGATGCTCGATCTCGAGCGGTCACGAAATATTGGCGATCTTGAAGTGGAAGCGTTTCATCTCCGGGCCCGCGGAAGGAAGGGGTAGCAAGGGCGTCGCGGGCCAGTTGATGGGCTTCTTCGTTGCCTGGGATCCCCGCATTACCAGCAGGGTTGTAAAGTACCTAGGTACAAGTAGCTGTAAATCGGTATCTAGGTACTTTTGTTGTACCTGAGGTACAAACCTAGGTACTTTTATTTCTCAGTATCTGTATCTGTATCTTAGGTACATTTTCCAGTAACTTGTAACTAAGTGAAGTTACTTTTTACAGGTACTTTTTTATTCACTTCGTCAAAATCGTAGAAAATACAATATAACATATAACGGAAAATAAATTATAATTACCGTCATAAAGCAATTTAACATCACGTAGTGTTTCCACTCAATAAATCAAACTCAAAATTTACACTTTATATAACCGAAAATGTTTGTGAAGAAAAAAAAACAAACTGCGAGGACGTTTCACCTTCGCCTTTAAGAGTTGAACGCGATAGGGTTATCGGGCCCCGTTCGCATGGCCTTCTCAATCGCTTCTCATGCTCTTGAGTCACACAACGACCTAGTTCTTATGATACAACACTCCCGGCGCGATCGAGGAGCTTTTGCCAGTGCTTTGATGCCATTTTACCCCGCAAGGTTTATTTATGTGTTTGCTGGGCACGTGCTAACAACACTCGATGCGATAAT